CACTATATATAGGGCCAAGGGAGAGGGGGAGGGCGCAGCCTTGCCCCTTCCTCCAAGGAAGGGTGCGGCCAAGGGGGGGAGGAGTCCATCCTCCCCAAGGCACCTCGGAGGTGCCTTCCCCTTTTAGGACTCTCCCCTCCTCTTGTCCCTTTGGCGCATGGGCCTCTAGGGGCTGGTGCCCTTGGCCCATGTAGGCCAAGGCGCACCCCCTACAGCCCATGTGGCCCCCGGGGCAGGTGGCCCCACCCGGTGGACCCCCGGGACCCTTCCGGTGGTCCCGGTACAATACCGGTGACCCCGAAACTTGTCCCGATAGCCGAAATAGCACTTTCTATATATAATTCTTTACCTCCGGACCATTCCGGAACTCCTCGTGACGTCCGGGATCTCATCCGGGACTCCGAACAACTTTCGGGTTACCGCATACTAATATCTCTATAACCCTAGCGTCACTGAACCTTAAGTGTGTAGACCCTACGGGTTCGGGAGACATGCAGACATGACCGAGATGACTCTCCGGTCAATGACCAACAGCGGTATCTGGATACCCATGTTGGCTCCCACATGCTCCTCGATGATCTCATCGGATGAACCACGATGTCGAGGACTTAATCAATCCCGTATACAATTCCCTTTGTCTAGCGGTACGATACTTGCCCGAGATTCGATCGTCGGTATCCCGATACCTTGTTCAATCTCGTTACCGGCAAGTCTCTTTACTCGTTCCGTAACACATCATCCCGTGATCAACTCCTTGATCACATTGTGCACATTATGATGATGTCCTACCGAGTGGGCCCAGAGATACCCCTCCGTCACATGGAGTGACAAATCCCAGTCTCGATTCGTGCCAACCCAACAGACACTTTCGGAGATACCTGTAGTGTACCTTTATAGCCACCCAGTTACGTTGTGACGTTTGGCACACCCAAAGCACTCCTACGGTATCCGGGAGTTGCACAATCTCATGGTCTAAGGAAATGATACTTGACATTAGAAAAGCTTTAGCATATGAACTACACGATCTAGTGCTATGCTTAAGATTGGGTCTTGTCCATCACAACATTCTTCTAATGATGTGATCCCGTTATCAACGACATCCAATGTCCATGGTCAGGAAACCGTAACCATCTATTGATCAACGAGCTAGTCAACTAGAGGCTTACTAGGGACATGGTGTTGTCTATGTATCCACACATGTATCTGAGTTTCCTATCAATACAATTCTAGCATGGATAATAAACGATTATCACGAACAAGGAAATATAATAATAACCAATTTATTATTGCCTCTAGGGCATATTTCCAACAGTATCAAGGCTTGACTTGCAACTGGGGCAACTACAAAACTACACCCGCTCAAGTTGCGACTTAGGCATGGAGTTGCAACTAGGGTGAACACAAAACCCTCTCTAGTTGCAAGTCGATGATGGACTTGCAACTGGGGTGAATACAAAAACTACCGTCCGCTCTAGTTGCGAGTCGACGGTGGACTTGCAACTAGGGCGAATACAAAACTACACCCCTCGATTTGCGACTCAGGAATGGAATTGCAACTATGGCGTGAAAAAAGAAAAACACACACCTACCCTCCTAGTTGTGAGTTAATGGTCAACTTGCAACTGGGGCGAATACAAAAAAACTACACCCCCTTGAGTTGCGAGTTGGGGTAGAGTTGCAACTGTGGCACCAAAACCAAAAAAACAAAACACTACCAGCTCAAGTTGCGACTCGGGGGTGGAATTGCAACTAGGGTGAACACAAAACCACTCGAGTTGCAAGTCGACGGTGGACTTGCAACTAGGGGCAATACAAAAAAACCTTGAGTTACGAGTCGATCATGGACTTGCAATTGGGGTGAATACAGAACCTCCTGAGTTGCGAGTCGCCGGTGGAGTGGCGAATCGGGGTTGGAGTTGCGACTGTGGCACGAAAAAAACACCCCCCGTCCCCCGAGTTGCGAGTCCATGTTGGACTTGCAATTGGGGCAGCGGATACTCCCCTAGTTGCGGGTCAAGGGTCCCCAGTTGCAAACAAAATGGAGCAAACATGACAAACATGGCGAAACACACACAAAAAAGTGTTTGCAGAGCAACGGGCATTTTCTGTGAGATTGTGACAGCCACAAACTCCAAATTCAGGAAATTTGGAGACATATTACAACAGGAATAAGAAAACAGATTTGATCTTGTGCACATGTCCATAATTTGGAGTACATTTCATTTCAGGTGAGAACAAATTTCATCTTGTGCCAAATTTTCTTTCTTTAATTTGTCAATCAATAATAAAATAAAAACACAAGTTGGCACAGAGCAGGATAAACATCAGAAGCGAAGTAAGCAAACTGAAGCAGCACAACCAGAAAAATATCACAGGGATATATCAACAGAGCAAAAAGTAGTTTCATCTACAGGGATAAGCATCTTCAGACAAGCAAGCAAACAGAAAACACTACTCCTACAGAGAGGAGTACTCTGAATATGTAACAACAAGTTTCAGCTACAAGCATAAACATATTGTACCATAGCTAGATTTAGAATCAGAATCAATGTAAAAATGTGGTACAGGACGCATACACTTGGGCATCTCGGCAAATGCAAAAAATGCAGAGATGAGACAACTTAAATCACAGGAATTTAAATTCTGCTTCTTAGAAATGGAAATTGCAAACAACTTAAATCACAGGAATCCACACATGGAAATTGCAGAAATGTAAGGCTAAATGTTCTCTTTTTTTATTTTTCTTGGAATCTCTGAAGCAGATCACACAATGGGACCAACTAAACATCCTAATCTAATCATCTCCTAGGACCCCACTGATGAGACAAACATACTCCTAAACTAATCATTTCATAACTTAATCAAAAGATGAACTGAAGACAAGCAGAGCATTCTTAGATAGATTCAAAAAAAATGATGAACCATACACCACATTTCGGGAGATTGGAGGGGATGAAAGAACCATAGATCTACGGACGGACAAACAAGAAACAAAACGAAAATGTACAGCTGCTAACGGACCCTACCCACAATTCGGGACATTGAGGAGCGAACCCCAGATGTATGCTGCTAAAATCAGTGAGCAAGGAACAAAAAACAACAAAGACACCACATAAAAGAGGAACAAGGAAGAAGAAATAGCAAACTACCTACGATGCGTCTCCCTCTCCTGCACCCTCTCCAGAAATCGCCTGCGCCTCGAGCACATATAACGTGTGGGAAAACTGAACGCCGCTCCCTCGTCTTCGTTTCACGGAAACAGCCCACCAGCCCAACAAACAAGCAACGCGGCCCGCGAAAAACAAACAAAACCAACACAAGACGCTCGAGTTGGAGACCTCCTCTTTGGCGCCTTTAGCGCTCGTTAGCGATCGCAGCGCCCGCACGTCGCTCGCATGGGCCTGGCCCAGCAACACTCGTTGCCTGTCGCGGCTGGCTCGCTAGCTGCCCGCTCGATCGTTCGCTCCCGCAGCTCGCTCGATAGCTACCAGCTTGATCCTTGGCTCCCGCTCGATCACTTGTTTTTTCTTCACTCGAAAAAGTGCTACAGTGTGTATTGATTTTCTTAGAAAAAACAAACTGTTTTGCTACAGTATGTACTCTTGTCCTTTGAAAAAAGTTCATTGAATTTTAAAAAAGTCTATTGATTTCGAGAAAAAGTTCATTGAATTCGAAAATAGTTCACCGAATTCGAAAATAGTTCACTGAATTCGAAAAAAGTTCATCGATTTTCAAGAAAAGTTCATCGATTTTCAAGAAAAAAGTTCATTGATATTGAAAATAGTTCACCGAACTTGAAAAAAGTTCATAGAGTTTGAGAAAAAGTTCATCGAACTCGAAAATAGTTCAACGAATTCAAAAGTAATTCACTGAATTCAAAAAAAAAGTTCATCGATTTTCAATAAAAGTTCATCGATTTTCAAGAAAAAAGTTCATTGATATTGAAAATAGTTCACCGAACTTGAAAAAAGTTCATAGAATTTGAGAAAAAGTTCATCGATTTTCAAATAAAGTTCACCAAATTTCAAAATAAGTTCATCGAATTTGATAAAAATTTCATCGAATTTTTAAATGGTTCATCCGATTTGAAAAAAAGTTCATCGGATTTGACAAAAGTTCATCGGATTAGAAAAAAGGTTCGCCGAATTAGAAAAAAATTCACTGATTTTGAAAAAAGTTCATCGAATTTAAAAAAAGTTCATTGGTTTTGAAAAAAGTTCACCAAATTTCAAAATGAGTTCATCGAATTTGATAAAAGCTCATCGAATTTTTAAATGGTTCATCCGATTTGAAAAAAAGTTCATCGAGTTTTTCACAAACTCATCAAATTCGAGAAAAACTCCATTGATTTTGTAGAGGAAAAACTCATGAAGAAAGAAAAGTTTCACGAATTTGAAAAAAGAAAAAAAGAAAAGAAAAGAAGATGAAAGAAAACCTGTACGTAATCACGCCAGCTGAACTGCCCTGGTGTTGCGTCGCGCTCAGAACTCGCCCGTAACGGTTCGAAACCCAGCTCTCGCGGAGTTTTTGATGTTTAGAAAACAAAAAAAAATCGAAAATGGGCCGGCCCAATGTGACAAGGGGGGGTATGCGCCCGTTAGTAGAAACAACTATAGCGGGCGCTTAAGGCGCCGAATAGGAACCAGCCTCGAGTTGGGCCGCGCGCACAGACGAATGACGAGGACGCGAACAAAAACGCACGACAACAACAGAAAAATAACTAGCGAGAATCTTGAAGATAGGACGAGATCTAATGGTTATGAACTTAGATGTAAGATAACTATTTCACATCTAGATGTAAAATAGCAAACCTATTTTCTTTAATGCAATCTATTCTGTTGATGGAAGGAAACCAGAAGAACACAGCCGATCCTCGTGGTAGCAAAGCAGAACCATTCACCTGGAGAACTTAAATTTGGACTGTCGAAACAAAATGGATCTGCAGACCTACAGAGATTCACATATCGACACAAACAGCTAGGCATAGATCGATCGATCTGTCAGGCAACGCAGCCGACCTTCGTACCGGCGGCGGCGGCCGTGAAGAAGTCGACGGGCTGGCAGGACACCTCGACGTCGTACGGGCGGGAGTAGGCCAGCCCGACCTTGAACCGGACTTGGGCCCTCACCAGCACGCTCATGGGAGGCGCCCGCTGGGCACGGACGCCCTTGTTGCCGCCGGAGTTACTGACCAAGAAGCGCAGGTCGAAGAAGGCCGACGCACGGAAGCTGCTCCAGCCTCCAGCTCGCCGGCGGCTGGAGGAGCGGCATGGCCTGGTGGACCACCGTCTGCACCGACGCGTCCGCCCCGTGGCTCGCGTTGTACACCCGCAGCCGGGCCGTGAGGGAGCTGTACTCCACCCCCGCGCGGCGGCTCGGGTTGGCAGCATCCATGGTGAAGTTTAGGATCAACACCGGCGCTCCCTGGAGCTGGTTGGTGGAGGTGGCGGTCACGGAGAAGACGAGGCGCGCGGGGCTGAGGATGACGGAGGTCACGACGGCCACGGCGCTCACGGCGAGGGTCACGGCGATGGCCGTCAGGATGTAGTGCTTCGGGCCCCACACGCCATCAGTGAGCTTCCCAGTGGTAGTCACCATGGATAATCAAAACTTGCTCTCCCCTCCTAGCTAGAAGCTGTAGATGTGTGTGTGGACTTTGTATGGTGCATGTGCAGAAGTCAAGATGGTAAGAGCATCTTCAACAGGCGCCGAACGCGCCGCGTGCTAAAAACTGCTTTGCGGCGCGCGGCGCTGGCTCCAGCAGCCGCGCTAAAATGCAGCGCGCGTGCCGCTCCAGCAGTGCACAAAAAATGCAGCGCGCGCTCATTCTACAATATTTTTTACATAGATAAGCGATATATTGCATAGATAAAAATGATACAAAGGTACTTTATATCGGTGCAACTAGATAGATAGTTCGAAAGCATAGATAGATAAAACTATGGTGCAACTAGATAGAAACTACTACGACATATATAGATAGAAACTACTCCAAGTCGCTACCATCATCACCATCATCATCCTCGTCGGTGTCGTCCAAGATATCGAGCCATATGTCCAACCAACGTTCATCGTCTGACATGAAGATCGACCTCCCACCTGCTGCAACGATATCGGACTGCGCATTCGCCAATGCCCTCCGCCGACACCGGCCCGCCCGCTTCGCGCGGCGCCTTGCCGTCATCTCCGCCCAGTAGGCACGCTCGTCGGCGACGTCCTCCAGGTGGCGACGGCGCCACTCCGCCATGGCTCGCTCGTCCTCCTCGGCGATGAGGAGGCGGCGTTGCCGCCGAGCGTGGTCGGCACGGTCCATGTCGGTGATGAGACACGGCGGAGGGGCGACGCGCTGCGCCTGCTCGCGCGTGAAGACGTCCCGGAAGTTCATCTGCGACCGGGGCCTGTCCAAGCACCACGCCGACGCGTCGTACGCGCGGGCCGCCTTGTACGTGCTCCGGAATGACCCGAGGCCGAGCCGGACATCGCCGGATCGGATCTCGGCGGAGTACCAGCCGTTGGGGCGCTCGCGGACGCCGCGGTAGCCCGAAGAACCCCGGCGGCGTGGCGACATGGTGGCGCGGAAAGAGGCGAAGCGGCGACATGGCGAAGCGCCGAGGTTGTGAAGCGGCGAGGTTGCGAGGGGAGGGCATATGGTTGTGTTCTGTGCGCGTGGCGAGGGCGGGATTTTATAGGCGCACGCGAAGCGACGCGTCAAATCTACCGCGCCGCGTGCTGCTTTCCCCGCGCGCGCAAACGCTTCCCGCGCGCGATACGTTCCCGTCACCGCTGGAGCGCGCGAAACCAGTCGGCGCACGCCGAAACCAAAATTTACCGTGTGGATGTGTCTTTTGCCGCGCCTGTTGGAGATGCTCTGACGGGGTGAAACCAGGCCGGGTATTGCCATGTGATCCCGATCCGTTGTCGGGCCGGGGTTTTGCCCGCGTGGATCCCAGGTCCCAGCCCTGTCCCTGTGAGCTGCTCCAGCACAACGCGCAGCAGAGCGGAGTAACTTTCCCCGCTGTGATCACCGTCCCGTCGTTCAGCCAGCCAGCGGCAAGAGCTCAGAACAACCATCTACTCGCCGGTGCTAGAAAATGGGCAACAGGAGCACATCAAGTCTCAAACATTCCACAACATCATAACTTGTTGATGAGCATAGTACATTGCAGCTTAAAAAACAGACACGGATGAAGTAAATGATCACGGAAACGTATATTCCATGCATAGCACTCAAGCAACGAATCAACACTTTGTAGAAGCTTGCAAATACATCAACTTGACGAGTGTTCAATGAGCTGATGATGTGTTGTAAGTTTGTAAACCCTCCCGCACGTATATATTTCCGTGTTCGATTAGTTTCGCTGAAATTTCAAACGGAGTTTCACTCGAAAAACACTTATCGAGAAGGTTGCGAGATTGTGGAGTGTGTCTCCGTACGACTTTTGCGGGGTAGACGTTCGTGAGGCCATGGAGTCGCGAGCCGCACTCACTCGTTTCATTTTTAGACATGTTTGCCAATTTCTAGTTGAGATAAACCCAATTTGTTAATAAACAAATTGCAACGAAATATTCTCTTTATGTCTCAACTTCCTCGATTATGATTAACCCGATCCTAAGCCTGTGGTACTGCCCTAGAAGCAGGACATGTCCTTTGAGAAAATTGATGGAAGGTGGCAGGTCAGGTCGGAGCTAAAGATGCATGCACTGGCAACCGGCACAGGTGGTAGACGAGCAGTAACTACGTGCTGGAGCAAGCATGTGTTCGGTGCAGGGATGTTGGGCACGAGAGCAACACTGTTGAAGTAGTTAAAGACGATCGAGGGGAAGACCGCTTTCATCGTGTCTTTAATTTGGACTTTTGGAGGCACTGCACGCTGCACAGGCACCTTTTTTTTTTGCGGGTGACTGCACAGGCACCTGATCGACCTGCCTCTCGCCAAGTGGATCCATATCCATCATACAGTGTTATCCACTGCGCATTGTAATTACTCTCAATGCATACACTTTGTCAACAAAACAAAAAGAACTCAACCCATACACCGCGCCTTACTCCGGCTGCTGAATGAGTTAGGCCAACTCAAACATCGTGTATCACAACGAACATATCAAATATCCATGGACACGTCCGTCCCAGTTAAAACAGACTTTTCAAAAAAGGACGGAACACGATTTTTATTTAATTTGATATTTTCAACCAAAAAGATGAAAATTAACAAAGTTCAATTAAACCATATAAAATTTAAACTATACTAAGTGAGGTACCGGATGGTGACGTCGTAGGCATGGCCTCCGAGGCCTTCGGCACCTCCACCATAGTTGTTGTCCCTTCAATGTTTGGAGGCCTTTAGGTGTCGCGGTAGACTCGATTGGCTGTCGTTGCGCGTTCGCGGCGCATCTGCTCGGCTGCGTCTGCCTGGCGACGAGGGTCGGACGCATACTCCGGCCCGCGCTGCCCTTCCTTGCCGTTGCGAGCAAGGTGGCAGGCCAAGCGTTCGGATTCAGCCAACCCCAGTTTGTAGAGCTGGTTGTTGATCCGACGTCGGCGGCGGCATCCGTCAACACGGTGGTTCTAGACCGATCCTCGATCAATGCCAACACGAGGACGGGTCGATGCGGACCCAATCCGGCGCCACGTGTGACATCGTGAATGCCGCCCGCCGCGCCACGCCTCCTGGTCTGCCGTCATGTCGGCCGGCGTCATGGTGCGCGAGGATGTGCCACCCCTACAGCGACTGAGGTAGTGAAGGAGGTAGCCGCGAGTGTTGGCGATTACCGGGGAGGGCGCCTTCGCCTCCTTCACGGCGACTGGGCCCACTGGCACCTGGACTGCCGACGTAGCGGCGGTGGCAATGCCACCTCCTTGACGCGCCGGAATCAGTGCGATGGGGACGCCAGCTGGACGAAGCGCCTCGTCTGGCTTCATGGCAGGACTGTCGGCTCCTCCTTGAGGCGTGGCAGGGATGGCGGCTCCTCCTTGACGCAACATCCCTTCTGGACACCGTTGTTGGCCCCCGGCGTCATCATTTAGACTTGAACAAGTCTTAGTCTTAGTTAACTGGTTTAACAAGTACAGTGCAAACGACACGTTGAGGGCATGAAAGCATATGTAGAGCCAGATCGGCTGGAAACGGCGACATCACAGAGGAAGCCATGGCCAGTGCTTCTAGCCCGCCGCTAGTAGCACTCGGCGTGCTCCTCCTCCTCCTCTTGTCCGTTAGTTCGGCCATTGCGCATGGCGGAGGAGCAGATCCGGTACGCCGCCGCCAGCGCTACATGGTGGTACAGACCAGCCACCTGATGGAGCCAAAATCCATTTGCTCCGGCCTCAAGGGTACGTACGTACATAGGTAGACGAGAGGATGAAGCTGTGTTGCGAGAACCATAGCCGTGATGCATGGTGCTGCTTCTTTTTTGCAGTGACTCCATCCGCGAATGGTACGTGGGTGCCGCTGCACCGGCCGTACGGCCCGTGCTCGCCGTCGGAGGGCACGCCGCCGCCCCTGGTCGAGATGCTCCGCTGGGATCAGGCCCGCACGGACTACGTCCGAAGGAAGGCCACCGGCGAGGTGGACGACGTGCTCGACCCGGCCAGGCCGCACGTGGACATGATGCAGGTGGACTTCATGATCCGAGGGACCTTCGGCATCGGCTCTGGCTCTGGCTACGGCGCGGTGATCGACGGCGACGACGACGACGACCCAATGATCCTGGCACAGACCATGGCCATCGACACGACGGAGGACGTCCCGTGGATCCAGTGCCTCCCGTGCCCCATCCCCCAGTGCTACCCGCAGCGGAACGCCTTCTTCGATCCCCGCAGGTCAACAAAGCACCACTGGTTCTATTAATTTTGTAGTACTGTCTTCTTGATGCAGTCATGTAATATCCATTGTTGAAAATACAGGTCGAGCACCGGCGCGCCCGTCCGCTGCGGCTCCCGCGCCTGCCGATCTCTCGGCAACTATGCCAATGGCTGCTCCAAGGCCAACTCGACGGGAGACTGCCTGTACCGGATCGAGTACAGCGATCACCGGCTGACGCTGGGGACGTACATGACCGACACGCTGACCATCAGCCCCAGCACCACCTTCCTCAACTTCCGGTTCGGGTGCAGCCACGCCGTGCGCGGCAAGTTCAGCGCCCAGGCCTCCGGGACCATGTCGCTCGGCGCCGGGCCGCAGTCGCTCCTCTCGCAGACGGCCCGCGCCTACGGCAACGCCTTCTCCTACTGCGTCCCGGGGCCCAGCGCCGCCGGTTTCCTCTCCATCGGCGGGCCGGCCGACGATGGCAGTACATTCGCGACCACGCCGCTGGTCAGGAACGCCAACGTCATCAACCCGACCATCTACGTGGTGCGTCTCCAGGGCATCGAGGTCGCCGGGCGGCGGCTCAACGTGCCGCCGGTGGTCTTCTCCGGCGGGACGGTCATGGACTCGAGCGCCATCATCACGCGGCTGCCCCCCACCGCGTACCGCGCGCTGCGGCTGGCGTTCAGGAACGCCATGAGGGCGTACAAGACGCGCGCCCCGACGGGGAACCTCGACACCTGCTTCGACTTCGTGGGGGTCACCACCGTGACGGTGCCCGCGGTCTCCCTGGTG